CTTGGCTTCTTATTTTGACAAAAATAAATAGTAGTATCATCAGCGAACAACACTACCTTAGATGTGAGAACTTTTTAGAGATCGCTAATATAAAAAAAGTATAGGCCAAAGGCCAAAGAAAGAACCTTAAGGAACTCCTAAAGTTACAGGAAATGAAAAAAAGTGCGGTCCAATGAGGACAACAGTTATATTACAATTAGTAAGAAAGGATTTAATAATCTTAAAGATGTTACCTGATGCACGGTAAAAAGAGAGCTTATGGAGAAGACAAGCATGCAAAACTTTATCAAATGCTTTAAAAACGTCGAAAGCTATAGCTTTAACCTCTCCAAAAGTATCACGAACCTAATTTTTGAAATGAAATACAATATTTTGTGACTTGAGAATAGCGGCCTTTGGCGTTAGACAAATCGTTTTTTCAATCGTTTCTAGCGATAGTAAACAGGCGTCCTTTTTCTGGAGAATTGTTTTGGTTATTGATATAGAAGCAATGGTTACGATTGGAAATTGCAGCAGCACAATGAGAGGAAAATTATAGAGAAGAGTGAGGCTTGATTTCGAATTGTCGAAATGCAATAAAAAATTCCATGCCAGTCTAAACGCAAGAAGTTACATAAGAAGCACATTTGTCAGCAGGAAGATGAAAGATTTTAACCCAAGGGCCATTACAAAGAAAATCACGGAAAGAGTCCCAGCCAGCTTTTTTTATTGTTGTAAAAGGTACGATAATATTGGGTTCTGATAATAAAGAAAAATAAGGTAACAGTTTTAGGGTGGTCAAACCTTGATCAGAAGCTTATAAAGGTGAATGTGGAAAATCTGAGCATTGACTAGGGTCAGAAACAAGGCATAAGTCGAGTAGAGAAGGTGAATGATTTGGAATGTCTGAAAAAAAATTGGAAAGTTTATATTATATATTCATTTATATTACATATTAATTATTTTATTTAGTTTTAATTTTATTTTATAATTATTATTTTTATAATTATTGAATTATAATCTCCAACCATTGTCCCATGCTTGTTTATTTTTCAGCTTTCCACAATCTACATCGGCGCTTCTCGAAAGAGCCGATGTAGATTGTAAATGGTGCAATAGAGCCAATAGACGCTCTATTGCACCATTTACAAAAATGCATTCTCGATTTACTTTTTGTTCAATTAAGTTTTATCCTTTTACTGTGACTGTTTCTAAGTGTTCTAAAAATTCTTTTTTGTCTAGTTTTTTCCTCGAACATCAGTTCTTTCGAATTCATTCGCTTTATCTTGTTTTCCTGATTTATATAATATGCAATCTTTTAAGTCGTCTGTTAATCGTTATTTTGCTTTTTAAACTTCATTTATTCTCTTCCAGTAACTTCCAATTCTATTAGTGGTTGCTTGCAGCCTTGTTGGAAGTGAAGATGTTTTTAAAGAAATGTAAATAAATTACTTAAATCAAGCTCGGGAAAGATAATAAATGCCTTTACTTTTTATTTAACGAATTAACAAGGTAACTAGGTAACTAGGTAACTAGGTTTTCATAATATTTTATGATTTTCTTTACCGATAAAAAATCAACAATGTCTTAGTAACATGGCATTTCTTTCTTTTAGAAAAATTTCCCTTGCACTTTTTTAACTAATTTTTTTTTGGCCAACACCATTTTTACCGACAGCTTGTTTATTTTTCATTTTTCCACTATCTACATCTTCAAAACATTTGAATATCGCATTACCTAAATAGTCCTCGTATTTTCTGGGAACTTCTCTTTTGTAACGACTAAATATCTTAAAAAACAAAATTAATTTTTAAGGCGGTATCCAGCCATTATTTTGGCAAAAAATGAAAAAAAAAATAAAAAATTTGAAAAAACTTATTTAGACAATTGAACCTTGTAGAATTCAATAGTAAAATTTTTTTTTCCAAAATAATTTTAGAATATCAATATATTCTTCTCAAACACATGATTTATCTGAGTTGTGTACATGATTTATCATTTTAAAATTAATTTTTCTCAATTTTTTTTTTTATTTTTTTATGAGTAGCTGTAGGAAAACAATGATATCTCAATAAAAAAACATTATTTTAGCTTCAAATTTTTAGGATATGTTCGTTAATAATGTTTTTAGTGCCTGAACCTAAAATAAACTTAAAAAAAATAAACTTAATTTACAATTACCATACCAAAGTGTATTTTATCGCTAAAAATAGTTTTTTATACTACTAAGTCTGCCATTTTTGATTGTTTAAACTATTTTTTTTAATTTTTGGTTCAGGCACAAGCTACACTAATATACTAGCAATTTGCAAAATTTCAACCTTAATATTGATTTAATATTTAATATTGATATAATCTTAAGATATTTATGTTCTTGGGACGTTTACATTTTCACCTTTTTTTGCTGAGTCAGCAATTATTTTTTTTCAAATTAAATACATTTTTGCATTACATTTTAGATTTTTATCTATTATGTTAGTAATTCATAAATGGTACTCGTTATGTGTAAAATATAAGAAAATAAAAATAATGGCTGGATACCACCATAAAGTAGATTTGACTTTGAGTTACCAAAAATGTTTAGTTAAAGCTACCCATTTTAACAAAAAAATAGTTTATTTATAAAATTGCAACTGTAAACTTTTATACCAACAATTAACTCATAGTCATATTACTTATATTTAAAGAAATTTACTTTAGGTAATATTTTGAAAATACTACCATAATTATTAGAGTAAAAGCAGTTTAATCAAACAGTATGAAGGGATGGCATGTAAAATTGAACAACTTTGTATTTTGAGTTTTTGACAAATATCTTTTAAATGAAAAGTGATTTTTACATTTATTTATTTTCATTATTTTTTGCATTATGCTCTATCATACGGTATAAAACTATTTGATTTTGAATTAAAACATTTAAACTTAAGATAAAAAGAATTACTGTGAGTAAATTATTTTAAATTTTACTCACTATCTGTCCTCCTAGTTGTGTAAATAAAAATTTCAGCGCTAAACTTAATATGCAGTTTTGTAGTAAAAATTCTGCTGAAGATAATGCTTTTTTTAGAATTGAATTTGCTAGTTTCGGAAAAAAAGTGATGAAGAAAAAACTTATCTAATTTGATTTCCTGTTTAGTGAAACAGTGTATGTTTAATAAATTTATGTATTTAATAAATAGTGATTTATTAAATATAGTTACATAATTATTTTACACGTAGGTTGACAAGAATTTATTATTTAAAATTTAATTACAAATCTCCTTCTTATATAAAAATGAACTTCCAGCGTAGATTAACTAAAGATAAAATAAATAAATATTTCATAATATAAATGAATATTTCATAATATAAATAAACGTTTCATGATATAAATAAATGTTTCATAATATAAATAAATGTTTCATAATATAAATAAATATTTAATTACACGCGACTTAATTTTTTGAAGCAAACATCGATGAATACTCTGCGTCAAATGTCTGGAATTTTGACGAAATTTAATGGTGATAAGAGAAATTAAACAACTCTCTGCATAGTTTGCAGAGAATTTTAATTTGCAGTTTCCAAGGGTCCTCTTATAGTAACCGGAAATAATAAAAAACAAACTGCACAGTAAGTAACTGCTGCTGGAGTTGCACTTCAACCGTTTATAAATTTGAAAGCTGAACACCTTGTAGTAAATTGATATACATAAGGCCCAAATATACAACTTCACCGTCAGGTCGGATGGGATAAAAAGCAAACAATTCATCCAATTGCTGACAAAAATAATCATTTCAGCCTTAAAAAAAAATTACTGATACCTATGCGTTAGTACTTGATGATTACATTAAACACGTTAGATACCAGGTTACTTAAGTTTGTATTAAAAACGAGGTCATATGTCTACTAGCTCATTTGTCGCACGTTCTTCAGCCTTTAGATGTTGGTGTGTATTGCCATTTAAAAAGGTTTAGCGCCTAATATTAGACAAATATTACACTAACTCATTATGCGGCAATTTATCTAGAATTCTAGCTGTACGAAAGCATTTCTAGAAATGCTTTCGTACAGCTTCAATTGAAACTCTTTAATTCCGGTAAATGTTTCACCTGTTTTTAAATTATTGTAGGATTTTAAAACAAGGACTTATTTCCGTTAGATATAAACAACCTTGAAAAAAATAAATTGCTAATTGCGGAAGTATTTTAACCATTAAAATCTACTCCATCTGTTTACAGTTACTCATACTTATGTTCTATATAATACAGCCACAAGTTTTATCAGCTCTAACTCACAATAATAAGCAGCTCTAACTGTTTACTAATAAACAGCCGTGGTGCAGTGGTAATGCACTTGACTCAGAAACAAATAATCCGTGGTTTAAACCCCACCTCTGGGCAAGTTTTGCAACATCGGTTAGGAAGGAGGCGTAAACCTCCAATTAAAGGCTCACCCGCGTTGCTCTGTGATAAGACCGTAAGAACTTTTTCGGAGCACCTAAATAAAATCAAATAAAAAATAATAATAATAGTAAAAAATATAACTCAACTACGTTAATCTACCAAATCAACAATAGTAACTTATCCACACACGCCACACGCTTAAAAATAGTGTTGAGCCGTAGGCTACATTATGTCGCGTAGAATACAACAATGAGTGTCGACGCCGGCTACACCAACACTATGTGGCTTTAAACGCCACACTCAGTGTTGCATTCGTAAAGCTACATAAAATGTAGACTTGAAAGCCACACTTTGTGGCCTTTAATGCGACACTTTTGTAGAAATTTTTTCGACATAATTGTTGCATTTAATCAATGGCTGTATATATATGCTCTTTTTGCGCGACAAAACTGTTGTAAAAAAACCTCAAAATTAGTGTTGCGCTAGATGTAACACTATAGTTTAAACACTAATCTGTGTTTTTCTAGACGTTAAAATTGTTTTGATTTTTTGTAAGTATATTTATGCGTGATTTATTCCGCCCATTTAGGTCTTCATGTACTATGTATATAACCGGGTGCAATTAAATAATTCAAATAAAGAATGCTATTTATATCATATAATAAATTACACATTGTCATTTAGAGTCATACTAAATTACACATGTATATTATATTGGATTACAAGAAATAACGGAACGATATCACAATAAAATAATAAAAACTGAAATATAAATTTTATTTTAATTCCGAGTCAATACATTGTTATAGTATTTCTTTTAAGTATATAAACTCAGTTCAAACTCAAACTCAATTCAGTGAATATTAAATTAAAAACAAGTCTTAAAACATTTATATGCAAAAGCGAGTTAAAACCTTGAAAAATAGATACCGCCGTCAGAGAAGAATCGTATATCAACATTTTGTGTTTTTTTTTTTTGTCCATTATCAATAAATATTCAGGAGTGTGTGTTTCATAAATATACCACAACAATAAAATTTTAGGAAATATTTAAATAATCAGTCGAATTTTCTGGAAGAAAGACTTTGCAAATTAAAATTTGAAACTTGATTTTCTTGGAAACACAAAAAAAAAGACATACGGTCTCTTGGTTCTCGGCTGACGATATAACAAAAATAAACAAGAAAGTGATAAAAATACTTTTTCGTTTCACAAACATATTGCTTAATTTAATCTTAAACTTTTGGCAATACTTTCTTTAAAAGGAATTGACGATAATTCTTTTGTTGTTTATTCCAAGCAAATTTCCCATAAATCTATATACACAAATAAGTTCATGAGGAAAATTGACATTAAATACATAATAAGAGACTAGCTGCAACTCAAAAGCAAATCTAATACTCGGTATGGCTTTCAACCGTATAGCTGTATTATCGACTTATAATTAGAGTTATAATTTGAATTATAAATAGAGTGCTGCAACACTTGAATAAAATCAGTAGAAAAACTTTCTCCCTCTTCAATAACTCAAGGGAGCTTTCAAGACTGAGGTGTACCTAAATGTTTAAGTAAAATTTTAAAAATGCAGAAAATTCAAAGCTCAAAAAAGTAATACTTTTTGATTATAAACCAAATTTAACTTTAAAAAAAAATGCATAGAAAAAACTTACATCCATTTCTCTATAAAATATACCCAAATTCTTGGACTCTTCTTGCTCTTCTGTGGAGGTGCTATCATAAGAAAAGGGAGCGCCTTAAATGCAAGAAAAGTTGCATCTTCTAAATAAAAATAAAAATAAATCAGGGAACAACTTGTATATACTTATAAACCTTTATAGGTAGATTATAAAAAAACCTTCTTTTGGATTAAAAGGGTATATTACATAAGGAACTAATAAATGAAATAAGATGAGAAAGAGAAACTTCGCACTTTTGCAGATTGGCACATAGTCAAGTTGCAGCAGCTTAGTACTTATGCAGATTGACAATTATGTTGTAAAATTTCTTATTTAAGTTATAAAGTTCTTATTTATTCATTCTCCCCACTTAGGGTAGTAGACATATATATACCTCCATTATATTAGTCTTCTGACAAAGTATTTTTGAACATTGAATCTCTTGCTAGTAACAAAATGTTTTGTTTGCAAGTGTTAAAGCCATCATGCAATGTAACATTACTTGATACCTCTTCAATAAAATGAAACTATCTTTGAAATTCCCTCATTAGTTTCATATCTAGGAGGGCCCATGTTGCATGTTTCAGAAGTTACAAAAAGAGAATTTTTTTCTAAGTGTTTATCTTGTTTATATAATGTGTCAAGAAACTTGAGTGGCTCATTGCAATGTATAACACTACTTTCAAACTTACTCTTAAACATTAATAGAGTGGAATCTGCTCTAATGTCATTGAAAACTGATAAAGCAGCATTACCAATATCATCGCTCAAAATAACAACCGATCAATGATCAGCAATGTCTAAAGAAATTTCAAAAAATTCAAGGAAAACCTTTTTTTGTGAAATAATTACATTTGATTGGCAAGCTTTGAAAAACTATTTGAGCACTGCAATATAGGAAACTAATGATTATGAAATTACTGTTAACAGAAACAATTACTTCAGGTATAATGTAATAAGGAACACTGCTGCTTGTTCACAATGAAGAAACTAACAAAGGATCAATATATTCTATTGTTTTTTCAGGTTAAGTGTAAACTTGATAAGTAGAATTCTCTGGGAAACTAGGCAATGAATATTCTGAAAAATTAGGCAATAAATCGTTACGATTATCATTTAATAGATTACTATGTATTTTGGCTCAGGATTTTTATCAATGAAATCATTATCAATATTATGGTAACATTTTACATGTCTAATTAGCGACATATATGCTGTACAGGTACATTTACAGACATTCTGTAAACATCTAATTGGATAAACAATTTTGGCAATACTATTATGACGTTGTAGATGATTTTGAAAAAAAATCAATAGTTACGTAAAAGTACCTCATATACAGCAAATAAACATTTTAATAACTTTTATCAAAAAAAAAAAATTTATATATATATATATATATATATATATATAAATATATATATATATATATATATATATATATATATATATATATATATATATATATATATATATATATATATATATATATATACACAATATATACATATTATAGCACTATAAATCATAGTTGCAATTGTGCATTTATTGCATATATATATAAATATAATTTTATTAGAGGGCTTTCATAGGTATGATAAAATTATTTAATACATTATTTCAACATGCAACATGACTAAAAATCATAATCATAACTAATAAAAATCATTATTGAATGATATATCATGCAATAATGATTTTCATTAGTTATCTCAGCAAAAAAAAAAAAGATATGTACATAATGTAAAGTATTCCTTTATGGTATATGTATACCAAAAAGGGTAGATTATATATATATACATATAATCTAGATTATATAGAACTAGATTATATGTATATACATATAATCTAGTTGTTAACATATGATAACTAAAATAGTTGTTGTTAATATAACTAAAATGCTGCTATTTTAACTAAAATAACATTATTATCATATTTATTTGATAATATTTATGTATTAAATATTTTCCATTTTGTTATAACATAAAAAAATTAACTTAAACAACATTAACATTAAGGTTTAACGTTAACAATATTATTTAACAACATTATTTACATTTATGTTAACAACATTACTTGTGTTATGTTAACAGATTACCAGTTAACTACTAATGTCATGTGATTTTATTTAAACCTATATTTTACACATTTTTTTTAGACTAATGTTATTATTTTATATAATTAATGTTATTATGTTATAATTTTTATAACTTCATAATAATGTTGTTAACGTAACTAAAATAATTGTATTAACATTTTAATACAATATATATAAAATAATAACATTAGTCTAATTAAATAAAGTCACACAACTAATTCATGTAGTAATGTACTACAAACCGAAGGTCTTACCTAATTTTTAACAACTGAAAATCGATATTTTCCTCGCTTAACATATTTAATACGATATTACTAAAATATTACAAACCAAATATTTTTTTATGAAAAAGTTAACTATGTATGTGTTTAAAATTACCATGCAGCAATAAAAGTTAACTAAAATTTTCAGTAAAACTGAAAATGGTTCTTAAAAAAAAACATGTCGCTAAAAACATGATTCTAGTCTCTTTTCCGAATAATTCGATACGAGAATCCAACAAAGTGCAACACTAAGTGTGGCTTTTTTTACGCATATAATGAAGTTTAATTTCATAATTACAAGTGTGGCTTTGAAGCGCACAAGTGTAGCCTTGAAGTACACTATTTGTGTAGCCAAAAAGACGCTACACTAAGTGTCGTGTTTTTTGTCCACACTATTTTTAAGCGTGCAGTCTTAATCAATCAGTCACAATCAGTAACTGTGATAATTCCGATAGCAAATGTTGATCAATTGAACCTGCTATTCAAGAAAACAGAATTGTTCTAAATAGTGCATCAAAAGAAAAACTACGAATCGATTATGTCAACACTGCAAAGCGAAAAAATGCTAATCTGAAGGTAAATTCTTAATTTACTTGAGATGTTAAACATACTCAAACAGGCTAAAGACCAAAAATATGAGAGAATTGAAAAAAAAAAAAAAAAAAAAAGGAAGAAAATTTGATTTTAATATCTACGCTTATTAATTAGACATAGGAGAGTTAATCCACGCAATAAACATAAAAGAAAAAAAAAGAAAAAATACATTAAGTGTCCGAAACTTTTTTTTTTGGCGAAACCGTAATACGTTTGTAAAAACAAAAACATTAAATAAAAAACAAATGTGTTGTTCTTTTATTTAATGTTTTTGTTTGTGTGTTTTATTAAACTATTAAACAATGGTTACGTGTTCTCACTAGATAAATAAAAAAGCTGAAATCTTTGATCAAAATCATCAACCACTTGATAATGGATTTTTATCTTGCAACATTGAAAAAAATTAAAACATTCTAATCATACTAAGTCATACAATAAACATGGTATCGCAATATAATTCATTAAGATAATATAATAATAATTTAATAAAAGATTATTAAATTATTAAGTCAGTTCAAAAAAATTCGCAAAAAAAAGTAATCAGATAAAGGTAACTTTATACTAACTTTTTGTATACCAAATATACGGCAAAGTATACCGTAAAGTTAGTATACCGGATACAGTTACTGGCGATCCCTAGTTTAAATGTAAAGAAAATATATCAGTAAGCAAAATGATCTTCGCAAAAGATCTTTAAGCAAATATGATGTTCGTATTAGGAAAAATATCCAAAAATGACCAGTTTCTTATCGCAGTCCTTTTGTTTAGAATAAAATAGTTTTATCTAAATTTGATTTTTCTAGGAACTTATTCTTCTTTTAAACCAAATTATGTTCGTTTAAAAGAAGAATAAGTCCCTAGAAAAAGTCATTATCTTTTCAACTCAATATATACTTAATATTTTTTTCAAATTATTTTAATTGTTTTGATATAAATTGTTAAGTGCTTCATGATAAGATCATATGATATTTTAGAAGTCCTGCTGGTAATGTATTCAATGTAAATTTACCTTATACATATTATTCTGGCAAAAAATAAATAAACATTTCAAGCAAAACTTTGAAGAAAAATAGTTTAAGTTTATTCATTTTTAGTTTCTTTTTTGATCGATTATACGGCTTTATATAAAAAAAAAAAGTATATCTATACACATTTGCATAAATATGCATGTATGTGTATGTGTGTATATGTATATAAGTATATGTATGTGTATGTATATATGTATATATGTATATGTATATGTTTGTGTATGTGTATGTGTATGTGTATATGTATATGTATATAAATATGTATATGTATGTATATGTATGTATGTATATATGTATATATATGTATGTATATATGTGTGTGTATCTGTGTATGTATGTATTTACGTATGTATGGTTGCATGTATATAGGTGTATATGTGCTGTTAGTATGTTGTGTGTATGCGCTGGTATGTGCTGGTAGTCTATGAATATTCATCAGCGGCTTACTATCCAAAAGTTGTGCATTCTACTAAAGTCGTTACTAAAAGTACAGACGAAAATAATTATTTATGAGACACCAAGTATACTATAGAGTATGAATAATTCTACTTTTAGCTATTTATCACATAATGGTTGTCCTAAAATGAACTAAATGTTATAAAAGAATTATTAAAACCGAACATTAAATAAAATATTAAAATGTTTTCTAAAATTGAATTATGATACTTTAAATAGCCAAGATATAAATAACCAACCTCACAATGAAAAAGTAAAAAAAATCTCTGTTTGGGAAAGTTATTTGATTGATTGCTACAAACAAAAATTTATCAGTTCTACCAGTTTAACGAAGGATTACTGATAAAACTGGTTGAAATAAACAAAAACTGGTTGATATAAACAAAAACTGGTTGATATAAACAAAAACTGGTTGATATAAACAAAAACTGGTTGATATAAAAAAAAACTGGTTGATATAAACAAAAACTGGTTGATATAAACAAAAAAAGACAAATATTACAAACAAACAAATAAACAAACAAAAAAAAAAAAAAACAAGAAAACATCAAAGCACTATATCAAACCAGCAAAATCATTTCAGTTAGCTTGAGTGGTTTCTCGGTGACAAGACATCATGGTCTTCTACGAGTTTTTCGTTTCTTTATTCTGCTATCTTTTTTTATTTTCTAATGATAATTTTAATTGTAACTAATTTAAATTAATGTAAAATAACTTTTTATTTTACTTACATTTTTATAAAGATTGTAATATTTTAAATAAAAATTTTTAAGAGACATTGAAAAAAAAATAAAAAATTACGCATGTCAAAGTTGCTTGAAAATATACTTTTTGCTTTTTTTTTTCGTTCGAAAAAAAACAAAACTTTTGTACCCAGAAGTACAGTTAAAAAGGTTATTTTACACAATTACCGTATTTCCACTAGAATAAACGATTGGGTTCTAAATGTTTTGCAGTTATAGTTCAAATATAATACTGTTAGAAAACTAAATATTTGACATAAGATCTCTGGGTAGTGACTCTGATCTCTATGAATATTTTAAAACTATAACTAGAATGAATATAATAAATTCAATATGGCGTACATTAATAAATTAAAAAAATATTTTTAGAGGAATATTCATTTTTACCAATCTTAAGATCATCAAGACCTAGAAATTGATAATATTATTTGAAGATAATACGATATTAACAGATTCTTTCCAGAACACGACATTATCGATTTCTAAGTCTTGATGACCTTAAAGATGGTAAAAAATGACAACTCGTTTGTAAAAAAGTTAATTTTATAAAAAAAAATCTTTTAATAATGTTAAAAGAAATATAGTTCTTTATTCAACTTATTTAAGGCTAGGCAAAAAGATCTAACTAAAATTTAGGTAAAGAATGGAAAAAAAACACCATTTAACTAGACATTTAAATTATGCTGAAAAACTGTTATATAATTTGTTATATATAACAACATATATTAAGTTTTAAGATAGAAGGCTTATGGTTTGACCGATCACTAATTGTTATTCATAACGATCTGTTTAATTGTACTTGTATCACTCTATCTAATTTAGTAGAAATCTATTATAATAGAATATTCAATACGTAAACAACTGATTTGAATCAACATATTTTTTATTGAATAGACATTAGAGCCTAAAAAATTATTTTTAGAAAATTTCGCGGCGGAAGTGTTTAGTCTTTAACTTTCTTCCTTGTTCAATCAATAACTAGATATTTAAATTTATTCCATCTGAATATTAAGGTTAAAATAGAAAAACTTTTCAAAATTCATAATGAATTTAGCCTGGATAGAAATTAGATGAATCAAAAAAAAAAAGTTCAGTGAATTTCTGTAGTGAGTTGCAAGCCATCACGTATCATGTAAAAAATAATATAAATTCACAAACATCATTTCATTTTATTTGCAAGCAAAAATTACACCAGATTTTTTGCGAGTGCATGAGATGTATAAGATTGCATGAGAAAAAGCAAAAAAAAAAAATAAATAAAAAACACTTGAAACACATTTGTATTTCTCATTTATTCATTTTCATTAGTATACAAATATTGCTTGGAGTAATTTATAGCAAACGTGGTAAGTGGTAAGAGTTCTAGCTTCAGAACTGGAGGTCTGTGGTTCAAAGCCGGCTCTGGCTATACATGCATCATTGGTAAGGAAGGTTGTGTAAACTTCATGATTAAATACTACTCCCCAGAGCTCTGTGATAAGACCGTAAGAACTCCTTGAAGCATCTAAAAAACTATTTTAAAAAAATGATAATTAATAAAAACTGGGACCTCTGTATTATCAGTTGAAACATTTGACACGTCTAATAATTTTGTAGCGAGTAGAAGTTGTTAAAAGAAATTAAAAGAGGAATAAAGAGGATTTATCTAGTGCATGCCCGTAGCGTGGGGGTGGGGGTGGGTCGTCGAGCGCAATCGACCCCTTGTTTAATAAATTCTCTTTTTTTTCACGCAAGTTTTATAAATGGAGCAAAAATTTTATTAGTTATTCTAAACTGCCTTTTTTTTCAAAAACGACCTCCCAACAAACTTTCACATGACGGGCCTGTATTGTAAATAAGGTTAAATAATCAGCAGAACTAATGATCTAAAATCAGCTTTTCAGAAAATTCGGTTATGGAAGGTTACTGTTTCTTTTGAGTTATTGAATGATATGTTAAAGGCAAAAAATGTTATTGCAAAAGAAACAATTGATTCACACAATTTGACTTCATTAAGTTTCTCATTCATTCAAAAAGTTATATAAATTGTGCATTTTAATTTATGATTATTAAATATGTGAATATAACTTGTGAGGTTCTGCAACAGTGAAGGATCCAGGGAGTAGGAGGGATGATGGTATGCATCCTATCCCTCCAAAACCCACCCACCAGAATTTGAAAGTCCTAAAATATCTTAGAAATTGAGGTCCTTTTTTTTAAAAAAAAATACACAAAATACAAAAATATTTCAACATCCAGATATTTACAAGCTAAAAAAGAAAATAAGTATCATTTAGGAATGTTTTCTTCAAGTGTGTTTTTAAAAACTGTTCGCTGTTGTTTTACATTCTTCTTTCATTGCTTCGTTTTGAAAGAGTAGCTTTAGGAATTACATTCTCTGAGTCTCTGGATTTTACATTTTTTTAACCAGCATTAAGGTTTTCATATTCAGTTTATGAATATCACATAACTCTTTCATTCAATCATCTAACTGAACAATAGTTAAGTTGGGAGTTAATGATTTCAAAGGTTTTTTGTTACTTTAAATAAAAAATGTTACAAATTTTAAAAAATTACTAAAATTATGGCCGAGACCCA